GAAGGCATTTTTGAAATTGTGTCTGTGAAGAATGTGTGTTTATGGGAGCAGATGGCCAGGTCTTTCTCCCGAGGAGCTGCTAGGTGAGTTTGAACCACCAGCCGAGGGCTTAACTGTTGTGCCCCTCGGGCTAGCATGTAGTAATTACTTCTGTGAAGAGGGAGGAGCATTTAAGCTGAGATATTAAAATTTTTTAAAAATGTGAGCTATAACATAACACAGAAAAGTTCATTAGACAAATATGTTTAGCTTAATACATACTTATAAAGACAGCACTCATAAAGAGAACCACGTAGATGAGGAATTAGAACACTGCCAAGACCCATTCACAAATGCCTCCTTCACCCGGAGGTAAACTCTATCCTGACTTTTATGCTATTATTTCCTCCTTTTCCTTATGCAGCCCTAGATAACATAGTTTAACTGTGACTGTTTTTGAGCCTCATATAATAGTATATAATTTTGTGTGTAGTTTCTTTCCCTCAGTATTATGCTTGTAAGATTCATCTATGGACGCGTACGAGGCTATAGCTCATCCATTTTCATTACAGCATAAAATTACTTTTATTAATATACTACAATTTTATTAATTGACTCTACTGCTGGTGGACACTGAGTTGTTTCTAATTTGGGTTCTGAGTTCATTATGAACAGTGTGCCTAAGAAATCTTCTTGTATGTGTCTCCTAGTGCCCAGGTGCGTGTGTTTCTCTTGGCTTCATACCTGCAAGCAGAAAATCTGAATCATGGGTATATATCTTCAACTCTTCTAGGTAAAGTGAACTGTTATCCAAAATGGTTGTGGCCATTTCCACTCCCTCCAGCAGCGTCTGAGAGTTCCTGTTGCTCTACGTCCTCGCCAACACTTGCTACTTGTTAGACTTTAAAACTGTTGCTGATCTGACAGATGTGCAGTGGCATTTCATTGTGGTTTTAATTGCATGTCCCTGATTACTAATTAGGTTGCACACCTTTTTATATGTTAATCGGATTTCCATTTTTTTGTGTGAAGTGGCTCTTCAAGTCTCTTGCCATTTTTTTCCCCTACAGTGTTGTCTATTTGTATTGTAGGAGTTAAAAAAGTCTCTTCTGAATATTAGAACTTGGTTGGATAGAAGCGTTTTAAATATCTCCTACTCTGCAGCTTGCCTTTTCAGACTTTTAATGGTATATTTTAAGGAACTGATGTTCTCAATTTTAATGTAGTATTGATCAGTCTTTTCTTTATTCCATGGTCATGTAGATATTTTCATCTCTTAGCTTCTAAAAGCTTTATAAATTTACCTTTCATATTTAGGAACATCTGGAACTGAGTTTTGAGTATGGTTTTATATGTAGGGGTCTAATTTCATTTTCTTTTCTTATGAAAACCCAATTGTTCTGGCACCCTGTGTAGAAAGGATCTTCATTTCTTCATGGCTATGTGATGCCAGCTTTGCCACGTATCAAGTGTCCATATATGCTTGTGTCAGTTTCTGACTTTCTATTCTGTTCCATTGTCTATACTTGTTCCATGTCTGTACTTGTGCCAATGTCACAGATTCCTAATCACTGTGGCTTAATAGTAAGTCAATATTTGGTAGAGTCAGTACTCCCACTTGTCCTTTTTCTTCAACAGTGTCTTGTCTATTCGTGACTTTTTGCATTTCTATATAAAACCTTTTGGAATTTTTATTGAGATTGCACTGAATCTATAAATCAATTTGAGGAGAACTGACAATTTTACAATATTATTGCATCTATGTACATAGACCAAGAGGCAGTCGTTCGTACAGAACAAGTGGATACTGTGTGGTTTAAAATCAGGAAAGGTGTGCGTCAGGGTTGTATCCTTTCACCATACTTATTCAATCTGTATGCTGAGCAAATAATCCAA